GACACCAAGTCGGCTCAGAGAGGCCCCCCAAAACGGCTTCCGACGGTGTCGGACGGGCCAGGGGTCCACCAAGACGGCCGAAGATGGCATTAAGATGCCCCAAGACGGCCTCCAAGAGGGCCTCCAGGAAGCCCCGAAAAGGCCAAAATCATTGATTTCCTATGCGTTTTTGAAGGATTGTGGCATTTGCTTGTTTCGGCCTTCCGACGGCCCGAGACGGCCCAAGTGCCCCCATGGGCGAGGCCCAAGACGGCACCAAGAGGCCCCCAAGACGGCCGAAGAGGCCTCCAAGACGCTCAAGATGGCCTCGAAGACGGCCCAAGAGCCCTCCAAGACGTCCTCCAAGAAGGGCCGAAAGGGTCAAAATGGCCTCCAGACGGCCAAGATGACCTTCGATGCCCACGTGTTCCCCGAAGGCTTTCCAAACCGATTCGGGGAACACATGGTCCGATAGCTTGGGGCAGGTATGGCCTCAACGTTCGGCCACATAGGCGCTTCCACAAAGGCAGGGGGCGGCGGTGATTCGCCGTAGTCGTCTTCGATCCGCCGCCCCCTGTCGATTCATCGCAGGGGTGCCTGGCGTGCTAGATGATTTCGGTTTTGGTTTTGCTTCTTTTTCCAAAAAAACTCCCCCTGGGGCTCCAGCGCGTCCCGCCAGGGTCCCGGGAGGGAGCTCCAGGCCCGCAAACGACCTCAACATCCGCAAACAATTCTCCAAGACGGCTCAAGATAGCCTCCAAGACGGCCAAGATGGCCCTCAAGCTCGCCCAAGATGGTCCAAGACTGCCTCCCAGACGGCCCAAGAGGGTCCCAGATACGTCCAAGTTCGCCCAAGAAGCCTCCAAGACGGCCCAAGAGGCCCCCAAGAGGGCCTCCAGGAGGGTCCGAAGATGCCAAAGTCGTTGATTTTCCTACGGGTTTTGAAGGATTGTGGCATTTGCTTATTCTCGGCACTCCGACGGCTCAAGACGGCCCAAGAGGCCATCAAGATCGCCCCAAGATCGTCCACGAGACCTCCAAGATGGCCCCATGAGGGCCAACAGGCCCCCAAGATGGCCCGAAGAGGCCTCCAAGACGGCCAAGATGGCGTCCAAGACGGCTCAGATTGCCTGATAATGCCTCCAAGATGGCCCAAGACGCAAGGAAGACGGCCTAAGATGGCCTCAAGATGGCCCAAGACGGCGCAAGAGGCCCCCACGAGGCCTCCAAGACGGGCCAAGAGCCTTCCAGGAGGTCCTCCAGGTGGGTCCGAAGAGGCCAAAATCGTTGATGTTCCTTATGTTTTGGAAGGATTGGGGCATCTGCCTGTTCTCGGCATTCCGACGACTCAAGACGGCCCAAGAGGCCGCCAAGATCGCCCCAGGATCGCCCACGAGGCCTCCAAGATGGCCCCTATGACGGCCCAAGAGGCCTTCAAGACGGCCCCAAGAGGGCCCCAGGACGGCCCAAGATACCTCCAAGACGCCCAAGATGGCCTCCAAGACAGCCCCGAAGCGCCCCAAGAGGACCCCAAGTCAGTTCAGAGAGGCCCCCCAAAACGGCTTCCGACGGCGTCGGACGGGCCAGGAGCCCACCAAGACGGCCGAAGATGGCCCTAAGATGGCCGAGGCGGCCCAAGAGGCCTCCAAGAGGGCCTCCAGCAAGGCCTCCAGGAAGGCCCGAAAAGGCCAAAAACACTGATGTTCCAACGGTGTTTGAAGAATTTTGACATGTGCTTCTGTTCTGCCTTCCGACGGACCCAGACGGCCCAAGAGCCCCCAAAGATCGCCCAAAAATCGTCCAAGAGGCCTCCATGATGGCCCCAGAGCAGCCCAAGAGGCCCCCAAGACGGTCCCAAGAGGCACCCAAGACGGCCCAGGAGGCCTTTAAGACGCCCAAGGTGGCCTCCAAGACGGCCCTGGAGCACCCCAAGAGGACCCCAAGTCGGCCCCGAGAGGCCCCCCAAACGGCTTCCGACGGCGTCAGACGGGCCAGGAGCCCACCAAGACGGCCGAAGATGGCCATAAGATGGCCCAAGACGGCCCAAAAGGCCTCCAAGAGGGCCTCCAGGAAGGCCCGAAAAGGCCAAAATAATTGATTTCCTATGAGTTGTTGAAGGATTGTGGCATTTGCCCAAGAGGCCCAAGACGGCCCCGAGAGGCACCCAAGACGGCCGAAGAGGCCTCCAAGACGCTCAAGATGGCCTCGAAGACGGCCCAAGAGCCCTCCAAGACGTCCTTCAAAAAGGGCCGAAAGGGTCAATATGGCCTCCAGACGGCCAAGAGGAACTTCAAGATGCCCACGTGTTCCTCGAAGGCTTTCCAAACCGATTCGGGGAACACATAACACATGGTCCGATAGCTTGGCAGATCTGGCCTCAACGTTCGGCCACATAGGCGCTTCCAAAAAGGCAGGGGGCGGCGGTGATTCGCCGTAGGCGTCTTCGATAACGCCAACGTTCGAAATGCACTGATGACCGCACCCGCATGCTGTTCCCAGATGCGCCTGGGCAACGCCGAGACGCACCGACGCGACTCTGTTATATCCCATTATGATAGAGAGGGGGGCGGCGGCAAGGGGCTAAGCCCTTACGGATGTTGCACATGCTTACAACGAATGCGCGCGGCGCTAAAGCGAGATCCTCAGGTTGAGAAAGACCCACCTTCCATCCGTGAAGTTGTTGCAAACTTCAAACTTAAACTTAGAGTTAGGGCGGCAGGGCTCGGGCTAGGGTGTTCGGGTTAAGGCTCACGGCTCAGGGCGATAGGATTCGGGTCAGGGTATCAGGGTTACGGTGTTAGGATGTAGGGTCTTATGGTGTTAGGGTTAGGTTGTTCAGGTTTGGGTGTTAGGCTTGGGGTGTGAGGAATAGGGTTAGGGCGGTAGAGCTAGGGGGTAGGGTTCTGGAGCTAGGGGGGCGGCGTGGCCAAAGGGGCAAAGGAGGGGGGGAGGGGTGCACCCCCCCCCCTTTTGAAAGGGGGGACGACGGATCGGCAAAGCGGGGGGCTCAGAGGACGACGGACCGGGGAAGGGGAGACCCGAGGCCCCCCTCCTTTGGGACATCCAGCGGCGCGCCCTCCCCAAGATGCCTTCACGACGGGCCGAGATGCCACCAGGATGACCTCAGCTGGCCTCAAGATCGCCCAAGGGGCCTCCAAGACGGCCCAGGAGGTCTCCAGAAGGACATCCAGGAAGGTCCACAGAGGTCGGAATCATTCTTTTTCCGTAGGCTTTTGAAGGATTATGGCGTGTGCTCATGTTCGGCTTTCCGACGGCCCAGGACGGCCCCAGAGGCAACCACGGTGGGCCCAGGAGGCCTCAGAGATGGCCCCCTGACTGCCCAAGAGGCCCTCAAGATAGCTCCGAAAGCGCCTCAAGACAGCCCAGGAGACCTCCAAGACCTGCATAATGGCCCCCAAGACGGCCCTGGGGCCCAAATCGGCCAAGAGAAGCCCCCAGGACGGCTTCCGACGGCGTCAGACGGGCCAGGAACTTCCTCAGACTGTCAAAGAAAACCCCCAAGCGGCCAAGGAAGCCCGAAGAAGCCTCCCAGAAGTCACTAGGAAGCTCCTAGAAAACTCAAAGAGTGCCCAAAGAGACTCCCAAGAGGTCTCCTCCTCCTCCTTCTCCTCCTCCCCATCCTCCATTATGTTTGTCCTCCCTCTCCTCCGCTTCTTCTTTCTCCCCCGCGCGTTCCCCTAACGGTGTCCACAACCGCTGGGGGAACACATAGTCCGATAGTTTGGTCAAGCTCTGGCCGCAACGTTCGGCCACATAGGCGCTTCCAAAAGGCAGGGCGCGGCGGTGATTCGCCGTAGGCATCTGCGATCCGCCGCCCCCTGCTGGCTTGCACAGTGGTGCCCATCGTGCTAAATGTCAAACAGTTTTTGATTGTTTTAGAACCGTCACTGGGGCTTCGGACCAGCGAGCCGGCCACCCAGAATGCTTGCTCCGAGGTGGTTGTCAAGGATGCTTCCGTCCCAGATGGGTCCAAGATGCCAAGATGGCCTCCAAGACGGCCAAGATGGTCTCCAAGTTCGCCAAAGATGGTCCAGAATTGCCTCCTAAACGACACAAGAGGGTCCAAGATGTCGCCAAGTCCGCCCAGGACGGCCCAAGAGGCCCCATAGAGGCCTCCAAGACGGCTGAAGAGGGCTCGAAGAGGTCCTCCAAGAGGGCCCGAAGAGGCCAAAATCATTGATGGTCCGAAGGTGTTTGAAGGAGGTTGCCCTTTGCCCTTTGGTTCGTTTCGGCCTTCCGACGGCCCAAGACAGCTCAGGAGGTCCCCAAGATCGCCCCAAGATGGCCCCAGAGGCCACCAAGATGATCCTCATGACGGCCCAAGAAGCCTCCGAGACGGCCTCAAGGGGGCCTGAATGCTCAAGAGGCCTCCAAGACGCCCATGATGGCCTCCAAGACGGCCCTGAAGCGCACGAAGAGGGCCCCAAGTCCGTTCAAAGAGGCCCCCAGGACGGCTTCCGACGGCGTCAGACGGGCCAGGAACGCCCTGGGACGGCCAAAGAGGCACCCACGCCGCTCCAAAAGGCCCCCTAAGAGACCCAAGGAGGCTGCCAAGAGGCCTCCGAGAGGCCCACACGAAGCTCCCAGAAGGCCCCAAGAGTCCTCATCCTCCTCCTCCTCGTCCTCCTCCTCCTCAGCCGCCTCAGCCTCCGCAGCCTCCTCTTCCTCTTCCTCGTCTGCATCCTCCTCCTCCCCCTCCTCCACCACCCCCTCCTTCTCTCCTTCCTCCTCTTCCTCCTCCTCCTCCTCCTCCTCCTCCTCCTCCTCCTCCTCCTCCCTATTGTTCCTCCCTCTCCTCCACTCCTTCTTTCTCCCCAGCGTGTTCCTCGAAGGGTTTCCACAACGGCTGGGGGAACACATGGTCCGATAGCTTGTCGGAACTCTGGCCACAACATTCAGCCGTATGGGCGACCACCCCCTGGAGAAGCACAGCTCCCGCGCCCAGACCAGCAGGCGCGAATCGCGACTGTCTTTGCGCACCTGCGGACGGCCTCGGGAACTCAAGGGATCGCTCGAAGGCAGCTGCGCTGCGTGCAGATCTGGCCCCTCCCTTCCGAGCACTTCTGCATGTAGGACCGCTCAGCGTTCGTCATGTCGTCCTCATGGCGCGCGTCCCGGCCCACGTTGCCCAGGGGCGGAAGAGCGGAAGAAAGCGGGAAGGGGAATGAGGGGCAGGGATGTCCTTCCCCACTATCCCCCTTGTCATATCGTCGTCCACGCCCCACCCTCATCTCCGTCCTCCTGGTGCTCAGTGCCCGTCGGGTGTTCGCTTGCGGGGGGGGGGGGGGGAATAATGTGGGGCGAAAAAAAGGTGCACTTGTTGTGCACAACTTCGGCCCGTCGTAAGAGCCATGCGGCGCCCCTGTAGGGTCACTTCCTTGCAACCCTCGGGTGTTTCTTTATGGTTGAACGATGTTTTAAGTAGAAGCGGTGCATGTGCCTGGCTGTGTTTGTGGGTGCTGCCTTCAGTAGGTGAGCTGTAGCTCGGTCTAGTCCTGGTTGTTTGCGTCGATTGACGCTCCAGATCATTGTAGGCAGTCTTGGCACAGTGATGATATGCTGGGGTGTGGTTGGGGGAGTAATGACTTGCAAAGTGCGTTGTTGTAAAATGTGCGGAGGTCGCCGTTGTCGGTGGGTCTGGCTTCTTCTTGACATGCAACGTGTCGGGTGAACTAGTTTGCGTGTTGCTCGTCGGAGTCATGTACGTCCCCGTCTGCGTCCGTAGGCAACGACATGGATATCACTTTGTTCGACTCATGGCTGGTGCCTGGTCCATGTCGTAGTGCTGCCTTCGCGCGCTGCCATGCTGCTGTGTGCTCTTGCAGGCCTTGCAAGTGCTGGAATTGGTCGGGCAGCTGCGCGATGTGGTCTGCACGGCCTTGCTCAAGCTGCATTGCTAGCAGTGTTCTGGTCGCTTTGAGAAGTGTGCGGGTAGCTGGGAGCGGGTCAACGTGGGCGTCGCAGTTGGTTGCATGTAGTGTTGGTGGGAGTCTGTGGAGGTGCTGGTCCGTGGGTCTGCCCATCGTATAGTTCGTCGGTTCTGCACTGAGCTTGTGGCGCATGATTGCTGGAGTGGCTGTCCTGTCTTGTCGTAGTACTGCGGTGGCGTGTATTCATGGTCGGATTGGCTTCATAGTGTCTGATGTGATTCATGGTTGTCCTGGCGTGAACTCGTCGGTCGGGTAGTGTGCCTTTGCTGTTTCGTGTAGGACGTCGGTTGTTAACTGGTGGTGTTCGTTGACTGCTACGTCCCATGTTGGTAGTAGATGTGCGTCTATCATGTCGGCGAAGGCTGCTTCCTGTGCTGGGCCCTACATTCTGTAGGGTCGTACATCGCGTGCTTGCTGGTGCTCTTAGCTGTGTTGCGCATGCAGTGGAGAGTCGCGCACATCGGGAAATGGTCTTCGTTCTGAGCTCCCGAGTCGCGCTGGTAGTCGAAGCATAGTCCTTGTACGTATGGAGTCCAGTCGTTGGCAATGGCGACGCAGTCGTTTTGAAACTTGGATGGCTCGCCCTTGCATTGCTTGGTGCATGTGTGGGTCGGTTCGTGCTCGGTTGTTGCGTCACGTTAGGCCGCATGCGGCCACGAGCAGTCGTACTTGCGAAGCGTTGTCGTCTTCGCTGCGCTGCGGCGTGGGAAATGGCATGCGACCTATGCCTGGCGAGGTAGTGTCTGCTACGCGCGCGTTGAATTAGGCTAAGATGATGGCGGGTGGCGATGTTTGCTGCTAGTGCGCGTAGTGTGTCCCGCCAGCTGGCCGGGCGCCCGGGGGTCGCGTTGGGCGCGGGCGGCACGCGCGCGCGCGGGGGGGGGGGGCGGGGGCAAGTGCCACTTTGATGGTTTCGCAAACCAGCGGTGCTCGTAACCGAATTGTGAGTAGTCAGCGCGAGGCGCGCAGTGCTGGGAAGTGACGGTATTTGAAATATCTCTTTCTCGGGTGATGTCGCGCATGGCATTGCAGTGCTGGCCAGTAGGCTACATCCAAGTGTTGATGGATGTTGTGGGGCGGCGCATTGAAGGAATGTGTCTGATGTGCTGAAGTCGCCGCGTGATGTTGTTTCTTGTGCTCCAATAGGGCGGGCATTGTAGAGCAGCGCGCGTTCGCATTGGCGCTGTCCTCGAGTCAGGTACTGGACAGGCCATTTGACGTGTTCTTAGTTCTCGTTGAGTACATTTACGCGGGCTCGTCGTGCTTTGCAACTTGTTATCTTGATGTGAAGCCCGGTTACGTTGGTACTTTCGTCGGTGCGTTTGGGCATGGTGTTGTCAGGCTGCTGCAGGTTGGTTGTTGCTAGTGGTTCGTTATGGTGCGGTGCGTGCGCTGCGAGTGTAGCCCGTCGGGGGATATGAATGGGCATGCGCAGTGGTCGTCATTCTTAACGGCTGTGTGTAGTGTCCAATAAATGTTTGGGAGGTCTACCAGGCATGCGTGCATGGCGGCGTCGGGCTGCGCAATTGCTTGTAGTGGTCTGCGGTAATCCTCGTCTGAGTGCATGGTGGCATGGTGTGTCTATTGCGTCAGCTAGCTCGTTCCACGGGTGTCGTCGCGTTTGTGGACATTGTGGATGATGGTACGGTGGTGCTGCTTTGCTGAGTGGGATATGACTTGTGCTAGTCTTGTAATTGGGTCGGTCGGGTCTTGGAGTTGTGTGATCAAATTATTGCGCTTGCTGAATCGGCATAAATATGTACTCCGGTATGCGGCGGTCGTTGGGCGGCGCATGCGGTTGCCCAAATGACGGCGGCGAGCTCGGTGCTAGCGCTGACGAGCCGGTCGCAGTTGATGTCGGTATGTATGGCATGCGCGATGCTGCCTGAGTAGTGCCCTACGTAGCTTGGCTGCTGCCCGTCGTAGTGGAATGTTGCGAATGCTCATGCTGCCTTGCCTTCTGTCGCTTGAAGTGAGCCGTCGGGGCATAGAAGCAGACTGTTGGTTGCTTGGGGCGGTCCCGCATAGAGAAGAAGCGCCGATCTGGTCGGCGGATGGAGCCCGGTGCTTTTGAGGTCGCGTTTGAATATGATTCGTGGGTGAGAGCCGAGAATATATTAGGCGCTGCTCTTGGGGGTGAGTGGCTAGGGATGGTGGATGCTGTGGCTAGTTGGTGCCATGGCGTCGTTGGTAGTGAAAGGTCTCCACCGAGTGCCGCCAGTTCTACTTAGTGGGTTGCGTGGCACCAAGGCTGAGCCAGCGCAAATGAGACTTGCCAGTTGCTGAGCCGAGCCGTGCTCCAGCGCTGTGGCGCGATTGGCCAGCCTGGAAACGCGGGTGCTCGTGTGCTTTGGTGGGATGCTCGTGGACTGTGCTACGGCGGGCTTCTCGGCGGCGAGCGCGAGGCTCGTGGTCTGTCGTTTGGCATGCTCGGATTGCGACTGACCCTTGCAACTAGCAGTATTATGCTGATGGTTGCAGGGGTGCTTCGACTTGTGCTGCTACTTCCTGTTGTTGAGGGGTGTCGATGTATCTCGGTGCGTCGCGGGTTGTCCTGTCGTGCGTGGTTGCTGCGCTGGGTTATGGTGCATTGGATTGTAGGTCTACTTCGCTGAAAGATTTAGTAGGTGTGGGAAGAGTATGTATGCGTCGCGGCGCTCTGGGCGTGGCTGGCTCCGCTGAAATGACTGGTGCTTCTTAGGTCGAGCCGATGATAATTGCGGCGTGTAGTTGGCATGCTGGTTCTCGTGTGTTCGTCGCATTGTGCCGCGTGGTGGTCGTCATCGGTTGTGCCGTCTGGCGTTGGCGCGTCGATGGTGTCGCTCAGTTGGTCCTGCAACCGTTGCATCTCGCATTCCATGCGTGCATGCTGCGATTCTCTCCGCCGCGCGCGCGGTCGTTCTTCGCCAAGCACGCCGCGCTCGAAATCGACGAGCACATGGATCAGAACGCTCCCCTCGAGCTCTTGGTCGCCCGGTCAAGCCGGCATTCTGTCTGGCGGCTGCGCTTGTCGTAATAGTTCTAGCAACTCTGCCTGTTTTTGCGCGCGCCACAATTCCAACTGTGCTTGCGCCTCTTCGTACTTATCCATCCTGTATTGTTGTTGCATGATGTGTCTGGCTGCGTCGTGTTGGTAGTGCTCGGCCGTGGACAGTTGTCGCCGGCAGTGTCGGGCGATAAATTGCAGGTGCTCGGCAGCACTTCCGAGAATTACCCCGGCTGCTGCTTCTTCTCGGTAGCTCGGCAGGAGAATCCTGCCAGCGTCTTGGTTTCATTATGTCGCAGTCGTTGTGCTGCTGTCACTGGTTCTCGTGCGACGAAAACTTCTCGGTCGAATCTTGCTCGCGCACGGGCCCGCTGCGTTTCTTGCTCAGCGCGCTGTTCTCAATGCATTCGTAGGTGGCGCTCTGCCAGGGAAGAACGGTTGCTTCCTGGGTTAGTCCTTGCATTAGTAGTCGAATAATTTTCTCGTCCACATTGACGCATGGCGCTGGTCTTCGATCGGTTGCTGCCTGTTGCGCTTGGTAGTGGGCGTGGATGTGTTGCATGGTCTTTTGCATGTGTTCCTCTGTTGAGAGCTTTGCGCGGTTGGTGCCTTCCTTGTGTTGGTCAGCTTCATATTGTGGCTGCGCTGCTAGCTGATGGCGCTTCGCTTGGAGATCGAGTCGTAATTCTGCAACGGCCCCCCGCGCTGCTTCGACTAGTTTTTCGCGTCGTTCGCGTGCTTTGGCATGGTTGCCGGGCGTCTTGGCGTGGTCGTGCTTCGCCTGCTCTGGCTCGGCATTGTAGCGCAGCGGTTGGGTGGTAGCTCATTTGACTTGTTGGTTCCTCCACATTGCTCGTGCTGTAGTCATCTGCGCGCGCGATACTTCGTCAGCTGCGCGTCGGACTGCCGGCGCTTCCGCGCGGATGATCCGCTGCGCCGTGCTTTGCAGCGCCTGCAGTGTCTCTCGTGCGCGGCGGCAATCGGTTGATAGATAGTCGCTTGCTGTCTGTAGTTGTTGCGCGGTGTCCTCGGCGCTGTCTATTCGTAGTTGCGTTTGCTCGTCGCGGGTGCAAAGTCGCCGCGCTACTCGTAGCTCGCGCACGACTGCGCCACCTGCTCGCAGGTCGTCGAACGTTTGTTTGAAGAGCGCGTCCAGTCTAGTCACGTCGTCTTTTGTGCGCGA